CCCCTGGAAAGACTCAGCTGACTCTTGAATAGTTTCTGCATATAGGTGGGAAAGATAAAGTTAACCTTTGGTGGGGCACCTGTTCTGCGCACATTATCCTGTTTGGGTCCACAGGAGATCTGCAGGTTTGGTGATAGAAGAGGCAGAGGGGACACAGGGCTTTGCCATCCTCTGGGGATGGCTTCCTGTTACCTGGAGTGTTCTTCCTTATCCTGTTATCTGGTTTAGACCTGCTTTTCCATAGATGGCAGTCTGTTTAGGAAGTCTCACCTGATCCCCTGAAAGGCTGAATTAGGTATGTTACCTGTTCCCCATAAAACTGTCCTCTCTCCTGTCTCCTATGTTCAACTGTGAACCCCCGGAGAACTGGAAGGACATCTTTTTGCTAACCTTTTTGTATTCACCTTTAGCCTACAGAAGGATGCTTTACACCGATTGATGCTCTGTAAATGTTAATTGAATAAACACAAATGTGTGTGATTTCTCCCAGGTGAGGGACCCTTTGGGCCAACACACAAAATGGAACCTTCTCATCTCAGCATCTCTGAAGTGGTGTCAAGCTCTGCTGTGCCAGGTGTCATGACCCATTGCCAATTAGCCTGTAGGATGTGCTCAAGGAGAGTGCAAAGGCTTGATTCAGGATTTTAAAATCAATGTAACTAATTAAAAAATAACTCGTTGAACTGAAAAACAAGTTCAGAAACAATTAAGATAATTAAAATATCACCACCTTAATTGAGACCAAGTAGTGAGCTTAAAAATAAAATTAATTAATAAAAAACTTACCGGGAACCAGTAATTAACTGGCTTTTGAATTCAATGCTTTATAGTTTAACAAATCTCTTTAATTCATTCTTGGTTTGTTTCTTGAGAAGAGTGTTTGTGAAAAGTCATTTTGAAAAAAATAATTGGACCTATGCTGTGTGCCCGTTGACTCTTGAATAGTTTCTGCATATAGGTGGGAAAGATAAAATTAACCTTCGGTGGGCACCTGCTTTGCGCTAGGACATTATCCTGTTTGGGTCCACAGGAGTCCTGCAGGTTTGGTGATAGAAGAGGCAGAGAGGACACAGAGCTTGGCCATCCCCTGGGGATGGCTGCATCCTGTCACTCCTCATATGCAGAGAGAGATTGAAACTTGGAGCAAGGTCCCCAAGAAATCAGTAGCACCATGCCAAGGAAACTTTGAACCCTGCTCAGGATTATTAGACTCCGCTCTCTCCCCTACCTTCCCACCTGCAGTTTCCCCTACTTACTAAAAGGTCTCCCAAATGCCACTTATTATTCAGATCCCTTATCCTTCCCTTTACAAAGCGGAGCCACAGTCCTTTCCAGTACTGGTGCTAGGTGCCTTTCCAGAGCACCTGTCACCCTGAGCCTTGAGGCTGCTGGGAAAAACGCATTTGGGAGGCCTGTGTTTAAATGGAAATGACACACTCCTCATCCCCTTTCAATCCCAGTGTTGCTGTTTTCCAAAAACAAAATGCATCAAGGTGATTAAACAAACGCTGACAGCTTGATTTGTTACTGTTTTGTTGCTCTGTGAAGTTCATTTACTCTAAATAATTCACATACATGTTTGAAGTATTCAGACCCTAGTAATTGATTTTTAGCAGACTTGATTTCTGTATGCAAATTGTTAAGTATGTCTAGGGAGTTTAATAACTAACAGTTTTTATTTATTAGCATTTTGTGTTGGAGGCTTTTTGTTTTTAAAGAAATGTTAATTTCCGGAAGTGGAGGGTGGCCTATAGGAGTTAGCCTAAGGTAGGGTGACAGATGACAAGACAGGAACAAAACTGACCAGACCTCAGTTCTTTTGACTCAGCTGGGGGATGGCTGCATTCAAAGGGGGTAGGCTGAGGGCTCAGGTGTCCAGAGCTGGGCACCCCACCCTCTGAGGGAAGATCAGGGCTGGTGACCCCATCCTGTGGGTGTACTGAGAGGGAATGGTGGCCCAGCCTCTGCAGCACCGGGTCCTCTGGCTGTCCCCTCCTTTTACCCGGTAAGTCTTTTTAAGACCTGCACATTAATAGCAGCTACCTGCTTTGGTGGCTGTGAAAATTAAATGTGGTAATCCAATCAGAGGGCTTAGCTCACTGCCTGTATGTCAGAAGCACTCAGTGAGTGTTAACTATGGTTCTTTGTTATTATGAAAACTTATTATTTACTTTGGGTACACAAGACAAACACCAAAAACTTAACAAACACATAGCATATTCCAGGTCTGTTCTAAGTACTTACAGATATTAACTCATTCAATATTTATGATAACCACCAAGCAATAGCAGGTACTGTTGTTATCCTCATTTTTACAGAATAGGAAAGAGAGGTATAGCAAGGATAACAGGCAGCAGAGGCAGAGTTCAGTCCCAGAAGCTCCTGCCCTGGAGTCGGTGCTGTTCCCAGCTCTGCTCAGCTGATTCATGGTCCTTGTAATTGCACTATCCGTTGAGGCCATGGGGTGGGGAGGGGCAATGTGGCATGTTAACAAAATTGGCTACAGAGACAAAAATAAGCTCAAATTCTGCCACAAAGCGTGTTGTGTAGTAAGTACTGCAGGTTTTGATACCCATCACCCTAGGCCAGCCTGTTGTTCTCCATCTCCGACATCCACTTTAGTGAAAATCTCAAGTTGTCTGCTGCAGCACCTGGCATCTGTTGGGGGAAATGCTGGAAACTATGGCGGGGGCTGCCAGGGATCTAGTCCCCAAGTCTTGAGATCTATAGATGTCTTCATCCTGTGGTATGTGGAAGTTTGAGAAGGGACAATGAAGTACTGGCATGTCCTGCTAAGCTGTTAAGGCAGCAGAAACACCTTTGGATTTGTCTGTTCAGGACCCTAGAGAAATTTTCATTATTAGTGGTCATCTGGTAATCATTCTTAATTGTTGACTCAATTTTGGATGATTCTTGGAGAACAAGTCAAAGTTGGAAGAGCTGCAGCCCCAGGGTTGGGGTGGGGACAGCGCACTGGCCTGAGACTGCCCCAGCCTCCTGGATTCTCATGTAGACATCCCCAGGAACCAAGAGACTTCCAGGACCAGAAGGCTCTTGCTGCAGGTTTCTGGAAGGCCCAGCCTCGGAAGACTCAGCAGGCAGACACAGGGCCCTGCCACCTGCCTTGCAGAGGCTGCCTTAAGCTTCAGAGCTCTGAGTGAATGAACACCCTGTCCCTGGGGCTTGAATCAGCCTCTCTTTTATCTCATAGTCTGTTTCTCTCTGCTAAGCTCCAAGTGTCAGAGCCACATCCCTTGGGGAGTAGACTCTACCAGGTCACTCCCCTAGGACCAGGCCCTGGCTCTTGTTACTTCCCAGATGGGCCTGAAAATGCAGCATGGCTTCTGTTTACAGCTGCCGAAGCTGCTACAGTGGAGGAAGCCAGCTAAGCTGTTCAAGTTGCAGAAATGCCTTTGGATGTTGTGTGTTCAGGACTCTTGAGAAATTCTCACAAGCATCTGAAGAAAGTAGTGCACCAATTCTGGGCCTGGGCAGGAGGAGAGGAACGGTGATATCCTCTACATGCTGAGGAGTCAGGAAGGCTGCGAGTCCAGTGGTTAAGGGCACTGTGACATTTCTTTGTGTTTGTTTTGGTTTGGTTTTTTCACCATGCCATTTCTTATAGAAGTTTTGCTGTACCTGCTCAGGATGCCAATTTGTTGAACCAAATGTTTGCATGGGGAAGACATGGGGAGACATCACCTCCCCTGACTGGAGAGCAGTTATGAAAGATTTACTGCTTAATAGGCTTTAGGCCCCGGAGCTGGAAGATGGCACAATTGCTTTTGTTTTGCAGAGAATTCCCCGAGGCCTCTTCTGTGCCAATGATGAGCATGTGCACCTCAGCATGCAGAGTGCTGATTAGCCGAGGGCCTGCTGCTCAGCCTGTTCCCGGAAATGTTGCAGTATATGAATTGCTGTCTTTGGAGACCCTTTCTGGAGTTACTTGTTTGAATCAACATCCCCGTCTCATTACTGCCTCCCCACAAACCACACTTCATAGTCAGATTGAGTATATTATGATTGCCAGTACATGCCTTCCTGCACTTGCGTGCCGGTTCACCCCACCTGGATTGCCTTTTCTATCTTTGCTTTTCAAAATCCTGCCCATCCTTCAAGATCCAATTCACATATTAATGCTTGCCCTAGAAATTGATCTCCATCTTTCTCTTGAGGTCTGTTATCATTTTATATGCCCTTCATGGTCCTTATCTAATTTTGCCTTGCACAATAAATATTTATGTGTAAGCTCTTCCCCCTCCCTGTTACACTGTAACTTTGTGCGGCACAAAACTGTCTTATACATCCTGAAGTTCTTCAGAGACTTAAAATAGGTCGTTTATGCACATAGTGAGTGTTTATTGAATGGAAGCAACAAACTGTCCTCAAGGACTTTTTATAGGAAATAAGTAAAATTAGGCATGAATGAAGTCATAAAAAGAAACACCAGATTCATAACCAAAGAGGGAAAAGTGGCTCTTGTTCCTTGGATCACATAAGATTCTAAAGGATTTTTTAAAAAGTAATTCCTGCCTGAGCTGAAAATGCTGAAACTCCCAAAGCACAAGGAATTGCTCCCCTGATGTTGAGGAATAACGTGTGTGATAGACACAGAATTTCCCCTGGCTTGAGCTTTCATTCCATTCCCCTCCAGCCTCAGAGGGGAAACACATGCATGCAAACACATCGTTAGTTTATTTTCTACTTGTTTATTTAAGTAGAAATAGAAATTAAGCCTGGGTATAGTGACTCACGCCTGTAATCCGAGCACTTTGGGAGGCCAAGGCGGGCGGATTACCTGAGTTCAGGAGTTTGAGACCAGCCTGGCCAATGTGGTGAAACCCCGTCTCTACTAAAAATACAAAAATTAGCTGGGTGTGATGGCGTGCACCTCGTGCCACTGCACTCCAGCCTGGGCAAGAGAGCGTCTCAACAACAACAACAAAAATTAAATTTCCCTGGAGGTCCTAACCCTGCCCTCCTTCTTGTTTTTGCCTCAGCCCTGGACCCATCCAAGGACCCCTGCCTGAAGGTGAAATGCAGCCCTCACAAAGTGTGTGTGACCCAGGACTACCAGACTGCCCTGTGTGTCAGCCGCAAGCACCTGCTCCCCAGGTAAGGCAGGAAGGTGGGGGGAGCTGTAGGCTGGGAGGCATTCTGCAGCTGGCAGATGTGAAGGTTTGCAGTCTTTGGCTGGGGAATATGGGGAGGGGAGAGCATAGTGTTAGGGTCACCATTTGTACGGTGTTTGGTGCCTGTTCTCCGTCTATGGTAGAAATCTCAGTTCTCAATCACAGATTTACAAAGAATGTCCATCTTTATTTCCTTTAAATCTATTTCATTTTGACTATAGCCCTGATTTGAACAGATGAACAGAAAATTTCTTCTTGGTCATAATTGAGACCTTTCTCCTCCCAGAGTGATGCCACGATTCAGGAAACTTACAACTAAGGAAGGAGGGGACAAGCGTTTGATCTCCTGGTTGCAGTGACAGCCTCATTGTGATGGTTCTTCGAGGTCCCTTGAGGTCCAAGGGCTTTCTGCTTCCATGTCCCCATAGGATATAGCATCTTTGCCAGTCTTTTTTTCCTGCTTTCTCAGGACCACCACACCACCATTCCTTCTGGGAACATGCTTTTACCTCAGGGTACAGCCCCTGATATCCTCTTTTCCCCAGCCCAGGGGGGAGTGTCCCCCATCTTCTTCAGGGTCCTTAAAGCCGTGGCTCTTACCCTTCACTCCACTCCCAGCATCGTCTGTCCAGTGGGTTTAGGCTTTCACAAATGACGGGTGTGGTCTTTGAATTCAGACTGCTTCTGCTTTCAGTCCTGCAAAAATACCCAAAGCATGAAAGCACACAGATATACACATGCAAACAGGCTTTCTTTAAGAAGGGAGTCGGATGGGGTGGGGATGAGAGGGTGGCAACTTCAGTGCATATTCTTCACCTCCCTCTTTGCTGCCTGTACAATTGAGAAGTGTCGCATAGGGCTTTGGACTTACCACATCAAGTTCCCAATTGGGCAGCATGCTTTGCTGCTCATCTGCGCTGCATCACAACCTTAGGCAAATAAAGCAACCTTTCTGAATTTAGATAAATAAAGATTCCCACTGAAATCTGCCTCCCTAGAACCTTTGCCTTATAACTCCAGTTTGACCTGGTACCATGCAGCGTGGGTCCTATCCCTTCCCTCTCTTCCTGAAGTCCAAGCTATGCCAGTCCCCTTGGCTGCTCCTCTTGGGGTATGTTTTAATTCCCTCAATCCCATAAGTGGTTTCCTCTGAATGAGCCTGGAGAGTTCCTGCCCTCTGAAATTATGGTCTGGCAGAAAAATGGCGCTCCTGGCATGGGGTGAGCATCTAGAGCAGCCCCCACCCCATACCACTCTGGCCTCTCTAAGCCTGGCACATGCAGCGTCAGACCTAGCCTCTAGGGTCATCTTGCTCTGGGTCACTGTCCAGGTTCTTTTAAAAATAATCAGACTTTTTCTCTACAACACCAAGATGCAAGGTATCATAATGTGCTTTGCTCTTTCCCCAGACTGAACTGTTTTCCCTGGTGACAAAGATAGATTACATCCTGGAATTCTTGAGCCTGTGGTAGCATTGTGCTCGACACCTGTTTCCTTGAATTTTTCCAGCCATTTTCTGAATTTGATATTTTGTCTCTGCTTTACAAATGAGAGGCCAGAAGTAGAGCAATGCATTAGTAATTTGTTTGGAAGCAACAGCATGATTCAAACCCAGGACTGTCTGCCTCCAAAGCTTATGGTTTTCACTACTACAATATGTTGATTGTCTTCATTCTAGCTGTTATTGTCTGCTCATTCATTCATTGATATTCAATGAAAAGGTATTGAGGCCTTAGGCACTAAGGCTACAGAGATAAACAAGAGACCCTATTCCTACTCTGAAGGAACTTCAAGTTCATTGGGGAGTGGTATATAAAAAACGTGTTTTGGAGGGGTTTATTATTTGAAGTTCCTTTTAAGGTATTTATTATCTGAGAAAACTAGCCTAGACTCTCCTGCTGCATGCAGTGTCTTCCTTCTCTGATGGAGGGAAGTTGTGGCCATATCAGTTAAAAATATCCAAATACCCTTTGGGATGGTGCTCTAGGCTGTTCAGCCGTGTGTGTGTGTGTGTGTGTGTGTGTGTGTGTGTGTGGTGTGGATATGTATGTGTGGGTGGTATGTGGGTGTGATGTGTGTGAATGGGGTGTGGGGGTGTGTGGGGGTGTATGTGTGGGTGTGGGTGTGGTGTGGGGGTGTATGGTGGGCGTGGATGTGGTGTGATGCGTGTGAATGAGGTATGTGGGTATGTGTGTGTACTGTGTGGGTATGGTGTGTGGGTATGTGTGGGGGGGTGAATGTGTGGGTGGGAGTGTGGTGTGGGTATGTGTGGGTGGTATGTGTGTGTGATGTGTGTGAATGGGGTGTGTGTGTGTGTGTGTGTTGTGTGTGCTGTGTGGGTGTGGGTGATATGTGGGTGTGATGTGTGTGAATGGGGTGTGTGTGTGTATGTGGTGTAGTATGTGTGTGTGTGTGTAAGATGGAGAGTCTGTTTCATGTTTCCTCCTAGAATGCAGAAGATAGCCCTTTCTGGAAGTGTTAGAGAAGGCCTTTTTAGTTTGAAGCTCAAATCTGTTTGAGACCTATTCAGCAGCCTCTTTGATACTCAGGCATATCCAGGTGTGAATCGTGTTTTCCTGGGCACCCCATGTTTCTGTGTTGGAAGCACCAACACTTTTTTGTTTGTGTTGAAAATTGTAATCCTCATCTCCCACGTCTTCTGGTGACTACAAAATTATAGTGGTTGAGAGCATGGATTCAGGAAGGAGACCCATCTGGGCTCAATTCCTAGATTGGCTATTTCCCAGGTGACCTTGGCAAGTTACTTTATCTTTCTGGGTTTGTGCTTCCTTATCTGTTAAACAGGTTTAATGACAGTGCTTCGACCATTCCTCTTTTTCATTTGCTGGAACACATCCTCTAGTAATTCTTACAGGGAGGGTTTATGGGTGATACATTTTATGAAACCTTGCATAGAGTATTTTGTGTGTATGTGTTTGAGAGTTCAATAAAATGATGTTGTGTAAAGTACACAGCCTAATGTCAAGTAAAGACAGCTGTTGGTACAATTACTAAAACAATTATGATAATAGTTATTATTGTCTACTTTGTTGTGGAAAGTCAGCCAGAAATCTCCAAAGTTGCATGTTACAAAGTAAGAAGTAACTCAGTGCAGATGCCTTGGTCCCTACCCAGTTTGATTGTGCCTGCGTTTGCAGTTTCTGCAAGAGGAAGCCTTTGAGGTTTAATGTGAGGATGATAGTGTCATTTCTGCTGCCCCCCTTTGCAATTCATAGCAGGTGTAGACTGAGAAGATGATGGGATTTCTGATCATTGGGCTTATGAATTCATTGGAAAAACAGCCCAAAGAGGAGGCACTGGCTGAGATGGCGTGCCCACTCCTTTATCAAGATCTGGGAGGTGGCCTGGCCCAGGAAGCCCCTGCAGTGTGTTTTCTGTGGTTGTGTGTCCACCCTTCCTTCTCTCCCTCTTAGAGGCTGAATTACTCAGCCTACCATATCAGTTGAATGCATACCTCTTCGAAGGGTCTCGGACACCTTCCCAGAAGAAACATCTGTCCTTCCACATTATACTCCAGGGGTCCCCTCTGACCAGGGAGACCATGTTGACAACTCTATTTATTCATCAATCAGGGAAGTAATCTTTCTCTCTGTGAAACATCTGTAGGCAATCTTGCCAGCCAAGCTGGCCTCCGCAGCAGCTCAAGAGGCAAATCTCACCCGCCAGACAGTCAGGCGTGCGCACAGACGGAGAGGCAGCCAGGCCAGCCTTAGCTGATTATGAGGCTCCAGACTTAGGCTGTCTTTGCAAGCAGATCAAGACAGAAGGACAGCGAGCACATCAGCAGGAGAATTTCATTAGCTTTCCTTACCTGCGGAGATTGAGTGAGCAGAGAAGCTGTTTGACACACACATCTGTGACTGTGGTGTGTCAGGGCCGGCAGGCAAGCAATTTCAGTGGGGGCCAAGCAAGGCAGCCAGCCTTGCCCTGCTGGAATTCTTCTCCTTGATTAGGGTGGCATTTGTATTTGGTTTCAGGTAAACTCACATTCTCTTTGGAGAATTCTCTTTAGAAAGTCTTTGTTTCACACCTTCCTGCTGTTAAGCAATATTGAGTGGGGTTGGGAGGGACAGATTTTTGTAGTATGTTCATCTTTCAGGTTCTCCAGAGGGGCCAGTTATGCACAAAAGAGCAGTGTGAAGACAGCTGGGAATCAGGAAGCCACCTAAAAAGTTTTTAAATTTAGTTTGGTGTAATGATAATTGACGCTCATTATAGAAAACATTAAAAGTGGAGAAAAGTAAAAGGAAACAAGAAATAGGCAATAGTCACACTATCTAAAAACAGTAATGAAAATATTGCAGAATATTTTTTTCCATTTTTTTTTCAAATCATGGGTTTTGTCTATTGGTGTGTTTTTGTCAGAACTGATCAAGTAGTTTCTATATTGCAAATAAAAATTTCTATTACATACTGTTATTTATAAGTGAATATTTTAATGATACTCCAAATTATTTACAGATACAATTTTTTTTGAGACAGTCTCACTCTGTCATTTGGGTGGAGGGCAGTGGTGTGATCATAGCTCACTGTAACCTTGAACTCCTGAGCTCAAGTGATATAGATATATATTTTAATCATTATATAACATGCTATATAAAAAATAACTTGGAATGAGTCATAGACCTAAATATAAGAGCTTAGGCTTTTTTAGAAGTCTTGGAAGAAGGCTTAGAAGAAAACATAAGAGTTATGACCTTGAGTTTTACTAAGATTTCTTAAGTAGGACATGAAAAGCCTGAACTATAAATGAAAAAGAAAAGCAACAAATTAGACTTCATCAGTGGTCTTCTAAAGACACATTTACAAAAATGAAAAAGACAAGTCACTCTGAGAGAAAATATTTGCAAAACATTTACAACAAAAGATTTGATTCTGAAATATAATGAAAGCATATGTGCATTTAAAGACTCCCTCATGGATGTTCATATCAGCTTTATGTGCAGTAGATAAAAACTCTGA